CGGTCAGAGGCATGTGTGGGGGGGTAGCGGAGCAAAGCATCCAAGCTGGCCTTCAGCTTGGCGTCCAAGGCCGAGCAGAAGCTCTGCAGGCAGGGGGTCAGGGCCAGGGCCTTCATGCCCAGCCCGCTGCGGGCGAGGTGCCCGCGTTGGGCCACGCTGAGCCAAGCCGCGTCGGGGGGCAGGTCGCCCGAGCTCTCCGACCACAGGAACAGGGTCAGGTTGTGTTCCAGCTGGATGTGCTTGCTGGAGGCAAAGGGGGGGGATTTGACTTGGAGTTCTTGTAAGGCTGAAGTGAGAAGCTGTTTGGAGCTGTTGGAGATGGAGTCAAACTCTTCTTGCGTCAGCGTCTGGAAGAGAGAAAAGGGGAAAAAAAACCCCAACAGCACCTTTTACACGTGTCACTTAGCACTTAAAACACACACTTAGCGCTGCTGACTTGTCTGAGACGACAAGAGAGGGCTCAGCCCACCTCGATCCTGTCCAGGAAGAGCTGCTGCAGCAGCTCCTCCCAAAGGGAGGCGGGTTTGTCCAGGAGGCGCCGGCACACAGCCCTCCAGTGCTGGCACCCGGACTCCCTCCCAAAGGGAGGCGGGTTTGTCCAGGAGCCGCCGGCACACCGCCCTCCAGTGCTGACCCACGGCCTCGCTGCTCAGCAGCTCCCACACGGCGTCCCGGATCCCAGCCAGGCCCTTCATGCTCTTCACGTAGACCAGCAGGTTGCTGACTCCGGCCCTGATATCGTCGCTGCACCTGAAGGAAAGGTTTTGGTCAGAATTGCTGGGACACAGCCCCCTGGAAGGCAGGAGAGCCGGCACACCGCCCTCCAGTGCTGACCCACGGCCTCGCTGCTCAGCAGCTCCCACACGGCGTCCCGGATCCCAGCCAGGCCCTTCATGCTCTTCACGTAGACCAGCAGGTTGCTGACTCCGGCCCTGATATCGTCGCTGCACCTGAAGGAAAGGTTTTGGTCAGAATTGCTGGGACACAGCCCCCTGGAAGGCAGGAGAGAAGATCGGCTGCACCCCATGGCTCTGCCTGCAGCATCCCCCAGGGGATTGAGGGTGCCCCTCAGCGAGGCAGCTGCACCCCAAATCCCACCCTGGCGCCCTGCAGGAAAGCTGTGGTGGGTGTTGAAGCTGGGAGCAGCCCAGGAGAGCTGGCAGGGAGGGCAGGGGAGAAGGGCTGGTGGGAAACATCTCCCAGGCAGCAAGCACAGCTTGAGGGGCTGCAGCTGGCACGGGGTGGGCAGAGCTCCCAGCTCCTCTCCTCTATAGGTGGGCTGGGGACTCTATAAAAGGGACCTGGCTGCCCCCACCCAGGCCAGGGAAAGGCAGTGAGGAGAAAGGAGGTGCTGGAGGAGGAGTGAATGAGGCAGGTAAGGGATTGGCTTCTCCTCCCCTCTCTGCTGCTTTGCTGGTGCTCATGGCAGTGTGAAGTGGCTCTAGAGGAGCATCTTGGTGCAGCCCATGCAGGCTGCTGGGTCAGGGTCTCAGCCTGGCCGTGCCACTGCCAGGGAGAGGGGAGGCTGGGCAAGAAACCAGCAGGAGGCACAGCCTGGCTGGAGAGAGTGAGGAACTCAGCAAATTTGGGGTTGCTTTGTGCTGCTGCCTGGGCACCGAGGCCGTGCAGGGTCTGGGAGAGCCCTGCAAAGGGGGACACTGTCCCACTCACATGGCAATCCACTTCTGCAGCGTGTCTCTGAGGTAGTCCTGGCTGATGGGGTGGGCCAGGGTCCGTAGGGCAGGCTGGAAATCCACCACTGACTCCGGCAGGTACTTGAACCAGCTGCTGAGCTTCATCTCCTCCTCCAGAACCCCACCTCTCCCTGGAAACACACAGTCAGGGGAGCAGCCCAGCACAGGGGAGCCTCCTGCTCACCAATCTGGGCTGCCCAGGAGCTCACCTGCTGCCTGCTGGCCTGTGGTGCTCTCCAGGGTGGAGAAGAGCAAGCCACAGGGCAGGGCTGGATCCGGAGCCATCCCCTCAGGGGTGGTGTAGAAGACAGCATGAGCCTGGTACAGGGTAGTGGTCAGCAGCTCCATCAGGGAACACACCTGAGCTTTTATTCCTGCCCCTGCAAAGAAACACCCATCAGCCCAGGCAGCCCCTTCCCAGGGGTGCCAGCAGCTCTGTGCCTCCAGTGAAACCTTTTTTTTTTACTGTTTTTTAGCATTAAAATCCCCCCAGGTTATGTCTGGGCCACCTTGTCTGCTGATCTTTGTCCACAGCTGTCTCTGGTTTATGTGAAGATGCCAGAATGAGGCTTTAAGGTTGAATTTTACTGAGTTTAGAGACTGCTCTTCATTATTGTGTCTTGTTCATGATGATTTTAACCCCCAAGGTCTTAGAGCTGCTTCAGTCTTGGGGGTCTTCCAGCCTCATTACCTTGATTCCAGACCAGTTCATTATCTGCTCATTCAGTCTAAAAGCTTTTAACTCCATCCTGCTGACCTGATTCCTTCCCTATTACACGTGGGCTTGGCTTAAAACCTTGAGCACCATTAATTGTTGTGCCAGGGCTGTGCTGTGGCTGCATCCCCACCACCACGAGCTCTTTAGGGGACCAACCCACCCACTCCTCTGTGAGCCAGGAGGGAGGTGATGAAGCACAGGGGGGGGTTACGTGGGGTTCCAAAGGGAGGCTGCCCACGGTACTGACCGTGGTGAGGCTGGTTGAGAAGCTGCTGGATGGCCAATTTCCTGGCCAGAAGGAAGTCAGCCAGGGCCTGGCGTGGAGAGCTGTCCTCCAGGAGCATGATGGCACACAGGGCTTCTGCCACTGCCTGGTCTGACACGGTCTGGCTCTTCAGCAGGGACTTGCTCTCCTGCAGGATGGTGGATCTGCCAAGGGAAGGAGGTGGGCACCAGCTGGCCTCAGGGCTTCACTGAGATGTGTGAGACCTTACAGCGAGGACGTTCTGTTCCCCAGGCAGATGTGGGGCCATCTGGGTGCTGCAGGACTGAGTGAAATGTCTGTGCCATGGGGCAGGGCGCCGGCCAGCCACAGCCCCGGGTGGCAGCAGGGTGTCCCCTCCTGTGCTCAGAGCAGGGTTTGGCTTGGAAAAGACCTTCAAAGAGTGGAAAGGACCTCTCAAGAACCCAATCCAACCCCCTGCAGGGAGCA